TTTCAGCCTTTTTATTTACAACATACTGAGTGTAGAATCATGTTTTTACAGCAGAGTTCTCTGAAACTTATCAGAAAATGTATGTGATGGAGTTGCACAAAAACAGTAAATCAAAGGCACCATGAAAGGAAAACTGGGAGTTCAAAATGCAATTATCAATTTAAAAGAGCATCACAAGAGTGGACATGGTTTGTAGAAGATGTGTAAGCAAATTTAAATTTCAAAGTAATTTTTATTGAGCTTCTCAGTGCAATGTTTTGGCTAGTGGACCAACCAGTGAAGTTCTGTTTGCAAGACTGATATGCCATCATCATTAAAGAGTTTGTTGTTGTGCTCACCTCTTTCAACCTCTCTGGATTCCACGATCTGTCCTCGGCATTGTTCTCAAAGCAGGATTTATAACCAATCCACCCTCTTTGTCCAACAGAGAATCTTTTGTTTTAATATGGTAGGGTTTGTAGAAAAACAAGGCCGTGAAAACCATGCATGCACCTGTTGCCTTCGTAACATTGAAGGAGTGTTTGAAAAACTTTTGAAATAACACTATTTTCTCCCTAATTTTTTGTCCATAAATAATCTTTGTGGGACTTTGAAAATGGACTGATTAGAAGTCATTACTATTAGTTAACAACAGGAATGACAGCTAAAAACATCCTTTAAAGACAGCCCAGTAAATAAGGGAAATGACTGATAGCAAGTTTAAGAAGAGACTGTCAGAACATCCATTCCCCCTTCAGATTGATGGTCTACATTAAAGCGGGAACGCATATATTATGAATGTCTTCTCTGTGATGATAGACATTTTGAAAACTCTGATTATAACCTGACAGTTTGAAAGCCTGCATATCTAAAGGAATCAATAAAAAAAAATAATAATAATTCAACTTCGTAATGTCAGATATTAGTATATTCAGCTTTGCTGCTATGACAGCAGATCTATTTCTTCTCAATGTGTATTTGAGTGTTTGTAAAAGTGAGAGTTTGTTTGTGGGGAAAGTAGCTGAAGGAGATCCTGTTCCCATGAAGATGTGCAGCAGGAGTATGTGGCAGCCCCTGGCACTGCATCAAAGCCAACAAGACGGGGACAGAGAAAGAAAAAGACATGAAAGACAGGGTATGAGGCGAGAGATGGCTTGTGTTACAAGGCATATGGCCTGTGTGAAGAGGCAGATGTTTCTGCGTTGAAGGCAGAGGTGAGTGCACACACTTCCTGTTGCGTCTGCTATTGCAAACCTCAAGGGATGAACAGACAGATGTGGGGAGAGGCCGCGTTGGCATGCTGGGACACTTCGAGCTCATCCAACCTTTCATTAATGATATTCTCTCTTCTCCTTTCTGCCAATAACCATCATCACCTCTCCTCGTCATGCTTCACTTTCAAGGTTCTCAGGAGTTGCTCAGAGTTTAAGTATCAGTATGAACTTAAAAAGGTCACTGGGAGCTTCCTTGACTCAGCTGTATTTGTGGAAAAATGACATTATCTGGACCAATTTATTTTTAGTTATGGAGCTGGAACCAGGATTTAGCCTAGCTTAGCATAAACCAAGGATGCAGGGTAAACAGTTAGCCTGACTCAGTCCAAAGTTTAAAAAGGGGTCCCAGCAACTGTCAGGCTGTCTCATTTAATCTTAACACAAAAATAAATAAATTAAGAAGATAATTTGTGGAGGGTCTTAACATTTCCCCCTATCATTCTAAATTGTTACAAACATTAGTTTATTCATCTGTTAAGACGTTCACATCGTCTCCAGTTCCAGCGTGGGCTGCTTTATGTTGTCTGTTTAGTTTTAGTAGGTCTCTGTGCAGGAATTATGGCACCCACACCCCCAAAACAATAAAGTGTTGTTTGTGTTTGCTGACTTTTCCTCTGTGTTTCATCTTTATGGCATCTCCTGTCATTATGGTGTCCCTGTAGCATAGAGCTTCAAGCCAAGCAGCTACAATGTTAGCAGTGTTTAACTACCCCTAACTGATGAGGAAAAATGCATAGTGTGAAGCATAAACATCTGAGGTGCAGCCTTGGACAGATATGTATCCACCAGTTACTCTAATGTTCCAAATAGCCCAGCACGGCAGACATAAGGCCTCCGAGGAGTGATGTGATTTCATCTTTTTACAACAGTTTTTTTGTGTGTTAAATATAAGCTTGTTTTTTCTTCTCATGTCTTTGTATTGTCTCCTCTCATTCTTTCCTTTCTGTGAATGTGGACAGATGAGCACAGTGTCAGGTCTCAGGTGTTTGTCCTGTTTTTCCCTCGTTTGCTCTCCCAGGGATAGAGGTCATTGCTAACACAGCTATAAATCACGTTGCATGTTGTTTGTCCAAGCGTGTGCATGTGTGCAAGAGACAGAGAGAGAGAGACTTGATTAAGGAACAGGGAGATGGTGAAGGTGAGACAAAAAAGGATGAGTAATTCAGGTTGTTGTATGCGACTGCATTATTACATGTATTGTAGTCTACTCATACACAGAATGAGTGACATGTTAAGAAAATGTAGGCCTACATCTTTGGCTGTTTTACAAGGCTTAATTATTCAACGTATGCTTTTTTTAAAAAGCTGGAAAAAATGAAATATATATGTATATGATGTACGTATATGAATAGTTCAGTTTCCATTACATTGTACCAATCTTTAGATGTACCAAAAGTACGATGCATAAACATATCTAAGAAATACATTTAAAAAGGTGTTTTGGCTTGTCTTATTTATATATATATATATAGGTGCAAAATCAAGGTACCTCACCGGACCTTTAAATAATAATTTATACACATTTTGATGAAATTGGTTGGACCCATCAAAAGTTTCTCCATAATGTGTGTACGTAAAAAGTAAAGTCACTTAATTGAGAGTGTCTGGTTAATTCATTCAACGTACTTTAGATTCATTTAAGTAAATGATGAATAAACTCACCAACGCAGCTGAATAATCACAATACAGCAGTGCTTTTAAGAGGCTTATTTAAAAGGTACCATCTTACAATCATTGATCAAGTGATTATTTTTCATCCAGCCTGTTTGATACACCTTCATATGGCTTAAGGATTATGAACCTGACCAAAGTCAGTCGAGGTTAAGAGACACTCTATAAGCACACTTTCACTTTGCGATGATAAACAGGTATAATTAAAAGAGAAACCCTCCTGAGTGTGATGAGCTGATGTATTAATCTATGAACCCTCATGTTTATCATCAGCACCCTAGAGGGAAAGAACTGCTGTGCACACTATATGTTTCACATAACATTATTAATCTAATAAAGTTGCAACATAATGAGAAGGTAAGTAAATAATACCTTGATCTGGGAAAGCGAGCAGCTGACTGGAAGTGAATGTAAACATGGCGCCAGCTTGTTGTTACAGACTGAAGCTTGAAGAGAGATTAGATGTTTTGGCTGGTTCAGGTCACATACCTTGACCCTGCATGTGATGTGAAGCATTGCGAAAAAAATAATAATGCTCTAATCTGCTCTCAGTGCCGCTGCTGTTACTATAACCAGGAGAAGTGGGTCAGGGTTACACACAGGTTTAGGTTTGAGCGGAAAAAAATCCTATCACATGCAACTACAATCACATAACTACTCATGTTAGCTACGTGGTTAGTTTGCGAGCAGACATTTTGACTCTTATTGGTATTCAAACAGGATTTAAGTACTTGTATTCACCACTTGGGGGTGGCAACAGTTGATGTCAAGAATGTTTTAACCAAGAATTGCCAGTTATCTAGCGGATAAAACTTAACATTTAATTGGAGCAATATTTCTGTGGATTTACTAAATCCAACATTCCCTCATCTTTTAATTATGTTTTGTTCTCCACCAGCTTCACTTGAGGCACATATGTAGCCATTTACCTCCTGTGCTAAAGGTGTTAGACTAAACCACTGTTAACTGTAAAGAGCAGGAAAAATAGCCAAGTGGCACCTTAAAGCCCTGTACTTCCATTAGAACCATCTGATTTTGAAAACGTGAGAGGTAGACATGTAAAGGTATAATATGCAACATTCTGAATATAAATACAGCAAAAATCAAATACCCCCTATGTTAATATATGGTGGAGTAATGACTTCCTAAAAAGTGTGACATCAAAGTCCCTCTGGATTCGTTGTTCTCAGCTCTGTGTACACATTGACCGGACAGTGCTTCGTTCAGCTGGTTTATGTTTTGCCAAAAGGCTCAAACGTATGTGATGTTTTTTTATGTGGTGCAAGAGAGATGGTCCCACACCCACTCAGGGAGGCTGTTTCTGGGGGCAAAATTGTGAGTGTACATCTGTACACAAGTACAAGTACATCTGAAGGAGAATCAGCAGTCCTTCCAGGAAAGAAAATACTCTTCTTTCTATTTCTTTTCTACTCGATTCTTTCAAAGAAAGTATCTCTGGCCTAGAAAGACAAACATGTAAGAACGAAATGAACTTTGAGGAGCATATCGTTACTTGAAATGAATCACAAATCTAGTTTTTCAGAGGTTCATTTGCCCTTGACTGTTGCTTTCGCTGCCTCACAAAACTTTCCAGTGAAGCAGGACAGGAGGAGATTAGGAAGTGTGGAGGCAGGAGGGAAGGGGATAGCTGAGGGATGAAGGAGGTATGTAGAGAGCTTTTGTTTTGGTCTGAAAACCTGCTCTGAAAGTCCCATAGTAAGCCAAAACAACTGAGGATGTATAAATATATTATTACATTATCTATAATTAATTTTTTTCTTTACATAATGATATAAAAATAACTTTATATTTGATGATCATTATTTACCTTTGAATTGAACTAAACTAGAAGTGCCTGAGGGTTACAAGCCTGACAGAACAGCCTCTGTGTTTTGATATCAAAGCTGAGAATTAATGGGCTGCGTGTGTGCATGTTAATCCAGAGCGACAGGAAGGGAGGGGAGATTCTGCAAATTTAATCCCCTATGCAGGGATATCCCACCAGTGAGTCTATACAGGTGATTACAACGAAAATCCAAACACACATACCCACACATAAATATAAACCTTGGCGTCTTCGGTGCAATTTATTACCTCTATTTATATCTGTTACAGTTGCTGGGGAGGCAAGGAAATGGGAGAATGAGGCAAGAGGTAGAAAAAAAAAAAAAGGAAAATAAAAAGATACGTGGGCTGATATGAAAAGAGAATTTGAAAGACAAAGTACAAGAAAAACCAGGACGGACCAGAAGCGAGGTCTTTGGGATTCCCGGACAGCTGAGCTCTTGCATGTACAAGATGACATCCTCAGTTGCCATGACAACTGCATCCACGTGAGCAATCAGTGGGTCCCATACTCTCCTTCTCACCCACACAGATAGAAAGAGTCACACACAAACACAGTCACAGACACAACTCTTGAACATGCCCTCAAAGTCCCATGCTGCCTGGCAACATAACCTTCATCTGCCTACCTGCCTCCCCTTTGTCCACCCACTTTCCATCCATCCGACTATCCGTCAATCCATGAAGCCTGCCTCCCAACACATCAACATCTTCTCTCTTGTAGTCCCTTCCGCCTGCCATTCTTCTGTCCTGGGTCTTCTGCATTTTAAGGAATCTCTTTTTGAGTTCTTAGAACCAAATGATAAGTATTTAAAGTTGAAGTTTAATTTGGCAAATGATGCTTCAAATTGCATGAAGAGTATTTTGCTAAATAGTTATACAAATGTTTTTACAGTCTCTGATGATTGTAAAATTGTTCAATCCTTGCTTGCACTTGTTAATGTTGCACTGTAATGCACAGGCATTAAGACTGAATCCAGACACTCACAGTCACACAGTGTAAGAAAATCATGCACATTTTCCACATTTGAATGTAAAAAAAAAAAAACATGGACACAGAAAACACACAGTGACACACACACACACAGCACAAGGTCACATGAACATGCATATTCTGTGCACACATGCTGCTCTGTACACATCCAGTAGAGGAGAGACAGTTGGCACACAAGGGCACTCATTGCTTACCGCATATTCCCGTTGCTTTTTCCCTGCCAAGTCAAAGTGACAGTACAACACACGCACGAAAAAAGACTAATGCAGTGGCCTTGGCTGGAGGACTCATGTCAGGGACATAACATGCAGCAGCAATCGACAACCTGAGAGAGACGAAGAGGAAACCATTCAATGTATACTGACATAAATGATGCTGTCATTTCACACCTTCTTTCTCCACAATTAGAACAAGGATTAACTGGACAGACTGAGTGCAATTGTATGATTATGTGGCACAATCACAAATATAACCCTATTGTTTCTGCAGAGGATACTATGGCATCATGCACAAAGAACCAAAAATCAGGGCATGGAAAATAGCAATTTGCAGCACAATAAACTCCATTATGTGATCTGCTGAAAACAAAACAGCCAGTTTATGAATGCTGCACCTACAACGGTGTCACAATCACTGTCCAAGGTGCTGATCCTAGGACAGGCCGGGTTGCACAGCTGCCAGGATTATTACTGACACTCATACTAACTACAGCTCTGTCATTGAGTTCTATTTAACCAATTTTATGCACACCATGTATAAAAAGATGGAACATTTCTTATAAGAAGAATATAGGAATATAAGAAATAAGAAGAATTCACTTATTTAGCACATGAATTTTCCTAATTTGCAGTAGGTGCATTTAAGTAATTTTAGTACATGTTAAATGGATGTGAATTGAATGCAAAAGAAGGCAGGGTAAACACTCTAAAAAGGCCAATAGGTCTGCAGAAATAACAGACTTACACCTCTAGACTCCCCAGTCTACCTTTCCTTTGATGACAGGCAGAATAGCACCAGGGGGAGACAACAAGACAAATGAAACCTCTTCACAGGGAGCTTTTCTTGCTGTGAGTTGACATGCTATTCACTAGCCTTATTCAGACTGCCTTTTAAAGAGGTGATAGTTACGTAACCAGCTGGGGAGTGTGTGTGTGTGTGCGCATGTCTCACTGTGTATGTGGAGCTCCTGCTGCGGCATGCTTCTGCAACTCCAAAACACAAATGTGAATTCACCGACTGAGACAAGAATAATTACACCATCACTGAATCAATATGAATGTACAGAGACGTAATGTGTTTTGCTGAAACAGTCTGAATAGGGCTACAGAAAGGGACAAGAATATTACGCAATTGTTGAATGTATAGCACTTTTCAGTCTACTGTGGTTATTGTGTCAGCTTCAACACCATCAGTTCAAAGCTTATAGAGTCTATAAGACTAGTATTCTACCCTATATAAGATTGTATTCTTTTATTGCAATAACAGACTATTACATTCAGCCTTTTAGTTGGTGTATCAAAAAAGGAGGCAGTATTTGTTGCATTAAACTGTATTAGGATCTAAGAGTTGCTTTTTTTTCTAGGTTCTAGGTTGAGGTTCTAAATGTTGTTATTTTTGCAAGGTTTATTTGTTTCTTTTACCTGACTCTAATAATATACATTTTTGGAAACTAAGACTGCACTGTTTGTTGTTCTAGAGCAGAAATAATAGCTATCTGAGGAAGTTGCAAAGGAAATTATAATGTCGTGACTATAAAAACCTCAAACTTCAGCTCACATTAAGGGAGCACTCTGCGTCTCTCCTGCAAGAAAAACAACCTGTTTTATTCTCCTCTACCTTCATGCAGTAGCATTACATAGTAAGGACTTGTTGTTTTGGTGCTCAGTACATTGACAGTACAGTGGGAGCACTGCAGTGCTGTCAGGCTCCAAACAGAGACAGCGCTGTCTCTCTGTGCTCTCTTTAGCTCTCGCGGCACACAATTTCTGTGATTTAGATTAAAAAGGCCTTGGTGGGCAGTTTTCTGCTGTCTGAACAACCTCATTGGGGTACTGTTCAGGGAACATTGTGGTGCTTTGGCCAAGCTGGCTGTGTCTGTAACTGCCTTTGCTCCTAGATTTTATCCCCAGAGGGCAGATAAACTACAAAATAGAGAAGAGGGTTGACTAAAATAACTTTAGCTGTGAATTGTGATTATGTGAATAGTCCTGCTGCTGGAGCCATTTTTGTTTTTGATGGGTTCAAGGTATCTATTTTTGCAACTTGTTTCCACTTGGTTGGGCACTTAATGCAGCATTTTGTATCAGAATACAGTCAATTGATTGATAAACTTGTTACAGAGAAATGGAAATATTCTGTTAAACTGTCACAGTTCATAAAAAACAAAGAGGAGGACCCAAGTGCAAACCAAACTAAAGAATTTAGCAAAACAAGGAAAATACAAAACACAAGCTTACTTTTGTCAAGTCCAAAGCAAAATTCATCAAAAGTCCAAAATAAAATCCAAAAGAAGAAACACCTAGGCACCACTAGGAAACAGCACAGAACACGGGTAGGTAGACGCATGAACAGACACAGAAGGGAACAAACACTAGGGGTAAGACACAGGTGAGACCAACGACACAGGTGAAGACAATCAGGGCAATCAACATGGAAGGAGGAAGTAAGAGAAGAAACACTACACATGATACACAGGGGGGAAAAAAACTTCAAAATAAAACAGGAAACACTGAAAACTAAAGTTAAGGAATGTAAACAAGTAAATACACAGGACACAGAAATACACGAGGATACAAAATAAAACAGGAAATCACAACAAAACTGCTGTTTCATCCTATTTGCTTCTGGAAAAACCCTGCTCTGATAATTAAAGACTCTGTTTATTACTATTTACTAATGGAATATCTATTCATTACAATTTAACAATTGTGCAAGGGGTTGGTAAAAACCGGTTAATTTGTATGGGCAGACATTTATGGGGAGTTAAATCAAACGTTTGCAAATAATATGAATGACCTTGTGAAAAATGAACAAAAACACTCATCTCGACAGAAAGCATTTAATTGCAAGCCAATGTAAAAGTGATTAGGCTGATGTTGGTCGAAAATGTGCAATGTATGATCCCCCACAAGTGAAAAATAATCAAAAGGATGTGCTGCTAGTGTAAACAATCCTCAAGTGTAGTCAATGTTGTATCCGTGTGCCTGTGTGTGTGCGTGACTGTGTGCCTGTGTGTGTGTGTGTGTGTGTGTGTGTGTGTGTGTGTGTGTGTGTGTGGCTAAGAGCACCAGAAGTCTCAGTGAGTTTTAAATGGAGTGCTTTGTGGAATATCAAAGGCCTACACAGATGACTCACTGTTCACAACCAAGTCTGTTGGAGAGAGGAGCCAGACCTGGGTCATTCACACACACACGCACACACAAACACACACACACACACACACACCCACCTACACAAAAAACTTGCACACACAGCCAAACACTCACATTTATCGATTAAGGTTGGCGGTACAGCCACAATTTTCATTCATCCCCTAGTCTCCCCTGGCTTCTGCTATCGATTCCATTTTAGCGGGTGTTTAATTCACAGCCGGACCCAGCCTGCCACAGCCTCCACTTCCAACACCTCTCTCAGTGTTTATTGACCGTGTAGTAGCACCAAGACAGTGCTCAGCGTCTGTATTTGCACTGGGGCTGTTTTTATTGCATGACATTTACATTTTTACACTTCAAATGAACATCCTTTATCTTCAAAAGGATATATTTCCTTTAAGAATTTAAAAATTAGTTACTTAATTTGAGGTTGAGGAACTTTTCGGAGGCCCGAGGCAGTATACATTCCTGTTGCAAAGTTTTAATTTCAAACAATTCAATGGCAGCAACGGCACTGAAAGGTAAAGTTGTTATCAATGGCGTCAGTGTGAGTGTGTGTATGTGTGCGGAAAAAAAAGAAAGCCTTTAAGTCATCCTGAAATCACGTGCAGATTTAGCTCCTTATCCTGTATGACTGAGAAGTCTTGTGATTACAGTCCCTTTTTGTGCCCCCCACCCCACCCCACCCCACCCCTCTCTCTCTCTCTCTCCCTCTCACACTCTCTCCTTTTTTCCTTTTCCCCCTGTTATATCAAAAAGGAATCAAGGAGAACTACAAGGACAGGCCTGTACTTAGGGAGAAACTATCCCTCGCATGGCAGTGTGTTGCTGTAGAGACCAGCAGAGAGTGAGAGATAAATCTATTAAGTTTGATCATATGCATGCATCTGTGTGGGTGTTTTAGTGTGTGTGGGTGTACAGAGAAAACAGGGTTGCCTTTATTCCATAATCGTAACCTCTCTCTGTGCTTCTAGCTGTTCTATGTGTTTTCCATCATAAACAGTAACATAAGTGATGAGTGACACTGTCTTTAAACCTGTTAATATCAATATCTGAGAGAGACACTGTTACACAAAAGATAGATTTTTTTGTGTATCTGGGAAGAAAAGAAAGCACAGTATTAAAAATGTCGCAAATCGTCATCTTGAGAGGTTGAGAATAATAAAGCATGTCCATGCAAGGTAGGAGAGATTACAGAATTGGTGCTGAAAGGTTCGGCAACAACACCAAAGTATAATGTTTTGATACAACATGCAGGTCTACATAATTCCTTCCCTTGTAACATTTGAATCTAAGGTTAATATAAATGGTACTAACCTTGTGTTTTAGTGCGATTGCTCTAATTTTGTAAGATTGAGATAGTCACTAAAATGAGCTAGCTATATGTCGCTTATGTAGCGTTCAATCTATATTTTATCATGAATAATTTTAAGGTACTGTACAATGGATGTCTATGTCCTGCAGTGGTATGTAGTGTGAATTAAAGGAGGTGTTTAGTCGGCTGTAGCTGGTCAGAAGAAGCTCACTGAGAGCAAATTAAGTAACAGACATGAACAATAACGGCAGAAGTGAAACATTTTCTCTGTGATATTCCAGAATATTCTATCCATCCATCCATCATCTATACCGTCTGGGTCGTGGGGAGCTGTAGCTAATCCCTGCTGTCAATTGGCGAGAGATGAGGTTCACCCTGGAATGTTCGGCAGTCAATCACAGGGCTAAAATAAAGAGACAGACCACCAGCCACACTCACATTCACAGCTACTGGCAATGTAGAGTCACCAATTAACCTAAGCATGTCTTTGGACTGTGGGAGGAAGCCGGAGTACCCACAGAGAACCCATGCATGCACGGGTAGAACATGCAACGACAAGAATACAGCAGTGAAGTTGTAGTCTATGTGCAGGAAGGAAAACGTCTCTCACAAGAAAGAAGCACTGAGCTAAACATCACGCTTTTAATAAACTAGCTTTCAGAGAGCCCGATGCCGCAGACGCCGGCGATCCAGGTGCAGCTCACATTAGCTCGGCAGACTAAGGAGGAGACACTCTATACAATCAGGTATGTTGATGGAGACGTGCTGTATATCAACTGTTGAGTCTGTTGCTTCAGATATCTAATTGGTAAAATCCCTACATACTGAAAATGACTACAGTGGTATTTGAAACGTGCGAGCTGTTAAAGCACAAATCTGCAACAGCAACACTAAATACTTTCCACAAGTAACTAGTTACTTTTATAAAGCAGCAGTTAGTAACTCAGTGATTTTACATGGTAGTAACTAGTAACTGGGAACTAGTTTTTATTTTTCAGTAACGTGCCTAACCAACACTGTTTACTCACTAACATGAGTTTGGAGTTTTTTCCAACCTGAAGATATTTGCCCTTAACAGAGTGAAAGCCCGCTTAAATTGCAGCGCAAAGTTTGCTAACTTTTCTTTAGCTAAAGGCTGCTACATGGTCATTTAAAGTTCACCTGTTGGTCTGAGGCATTACATAACATTAGAGTAAGAAATGTGAGGTTATGTGAAATAGTTCTCAGTCATGCACTCTGCTCCAACATGAACAGAGGTCTGAAACGTTCAAGTGTGCAGAGCATTTTCAGAATCATAAAATCAAACCCAGGCATGTGTCAGTAAAGCTATGGTTTATTCATATGAACATGTTGAAAATTGGATACATCTTTGGTTCTATAATCTGTCACAACATACTGAAAATAATATGTACATGTTTGTATACATATACTGCATATATATATATGTATATATATATATATATATGCATTTATCCCATAATTACAAATATTACAAATATTGAACAGTGGAGTATAAATTTAATATAAAACCATTGAATTAAGAGATATAAATGTGCTTTTTGCCCAAGTATAAGCCCAGGATGACATGTGAAGAACTAAACTAGTGCTGTACGGGAGGGATGAGGACAAACAAACAGGAAGATACCGACTCAGAAAGAGAGAAAAGAACGAGACAACAAAGAGAGAAAGGAGGAGCGAGACTGACAGACAGCTAACATGGTGTGTAAACAGAGAAACATTCATGGACCTGAAGAGCAGATATAGTGTGATTTGCTGCAATCTCTTTGAGCATGTGTTCATTAACTGTGTCTCCATGGTAACTGAAGTGGCAGTGTCAAGGCTCGATGTCACCCAGTGAGTGACCTTGCCTTTGACGAGCGCACAAAGCTGCATCCATCTCTCTTTCTGTCTCGGTTTATTTCCATCCAGTTCTTCAGCGAGATGTCATCCGCTTCCCCTAACCAAATCCAACACCAACCCCCCCACCCACCCACCTGAGCAACCAGGCAAGAAAACAATTGGCACCTATGCATGCTTGGATAAAAAACAGCAGACGTAGTTCCACCAAGGTCTCCTGCTCACAGACAAACTGAACTTTGTGTTGTAATGGGATAAAAAAAAAAAAAGAGGAGGTGTTACTGGGCTCTGAAGCAGGAGGAGCATGTCCCGCCTTTGTCCTTCTCTAACTGAGGGGTAATGGTGTCAGGGACTTCTGACTGGAGCATGTCGTTCTCGCTGGCAATGATGTGTTTCACCAAGCAGTTTGCTGCTTCATCAATGTTGATGTTCTCCTGGAAAGGCAAAGAAACAGAGATAGATAGAGACAGGCGTGTGAGAGGTGGGGAGGAAAAGAGAGGAGCGGGAGAAAAATATCGATTAATACAGATGTTTTCATAAAAGGAAAAACACGTGCAGAAATATAAACCTGTCGGAGCAGATAAGTGGAACAAATGGAACAAAATCAAGGAGATGAGAGAGGCACACTCCAGAAGCAAAATCTATAATACAACCTTCTCCATTCTTTACAGACAATACGATTAAAAAATGTGATTACTGCTCCAGCTAAAATAAAGTGTAGTCCTACAATTTACTGAAAGTAGGCAATAATAAGAAACAGAGATTTTCTGTGACAGCTGAGTAGTTTTTCACGTTCACAGGATAGAATGAAATCTGTGACAATAAAATAAACGCAATGTCTTTTTTCTTTGCAATTCAGAAAGAAATGGCACTTCAGCGCAGATTTTTTTTTAGCGTTTCTTAATTTTGAGCAGCCTGTCTGAAACGGATACAAACAGGAAGCAGGGTGATCTGAAACCAGGTGCGCTTATATGATGTTGCCTCTTGCATCACAATTTATGAAATTGGAAGTTAAAAAAACACAGCCAACATAATAAAGCTGAGAGATAAGCCTGACAAACCTGTCTGGCCTGATTCACAGACCTATTGTACCCTTCAAAATAAAACACACAAGCAAAATGTCTATTCTGGACAGCACTCATACAAAGGATTTAGAGCCACTTGGAGCAGAGCTGAAAGCTGAATAAACTTGATGAATGGCCCCCGGGTGTTAAAGTCAGGTTCACATGAGGAGAGGACCTGCAGAGAGTACTGATGAGACGGATACACATGCACACACTTTCCTAATATGTGAGGCGTGATGCAGGAGCAGCAGAGACACTGAATATTCATTCGATCTAACAGCGTGCTCAGTAGGATGCTACACAGCGCTGTCGTCTCTGCACATGAACCCCTCTGTGTGCCATGATTTATCAGTATCTCTCTGTTGCTATAGATGTTAGATCTCAAACAAAAGACTCTTCTAAAATAAAAACAAAAACAAAATAACACCATCTCCGCTATCTGCCGACTTCACTTCTTCCTCTGTGTGTTCTGGTGCATGCAGAGCGCGCCCCGTGTTGCTTTCAGATAAAGGTTAGAAGTATTTCTTCTGGCATGTTATTTAGCAGCGGGCTCACAGTATGACAAATATATAAGAGTAGACGCTCTTTCAGCTCGGGCTCTTGCTACACAACAGCTGAAAAACAAAAACAACACAGAGGCCTTTTGGGACTTCACTTCGGACTCTGCATATAAACCAGGCTGCGTTTCATGTTTTCAAAATACTAGATCAAGTAGCGCCTGATTTTTTTTTTCCCTGGTTAACTGCCTTTATTTGAAAAGCCTAAAGCCTGAAAAATGCCCTTGCCCCCTTGTTCTTTCACTGCAGCAATTGCAAGAGTTTATACTGGTTGCCTTTATTTCAAAATCTCTGTATAACATGTTTGTGGTCAAGTTTGATGCAAAATTAGGAGTCCGCTGTTCTATGATTGTTTTTAAGGAGCTTTTATTTATTTGAATAAATAGACCATGGGCATGTGACAACACACATGTCAAAACCTTCAGGAGGTCTCAAGTCAGCTCAAAAGAGGACTTTGCTGCTCTGGTGATGAGTGTGTCTGTGTCTATTTCCTCCTTTTCTCATGCAGATGTGAGATTCCTGCTCCTCATTAGCTGCTATAAACAGGCTACTGGTGTCTCTGTGTGTTAGTGTGTTAAGTCTGTACAGTCTGAATTCACTCACAACTTTCTTACACTCCTGTCTGACAGCAGTGACTGTGGAATTACATTGTACATAGTCTGTAAAAGTTTTTTTTAAATGTTTCATAAAGTTTTATATGTGTTTGATATGCTCCCAGTTTATGTTTGTGCCTGTAATGAGTCCAGTTCAGAATGTAAAAGTTACATTGAGGTTTAAGACAAACTACAATACAGTTAAACTGTCAACCTTAATTCATAAATACGTTATAACATATACTTTAGAAAATGAGGGTGATTCTTCAGATCAAGCTGTCACAATCACATGACACATAATTTGCATCTATTTATAGCTGATCTCCAAAAAACAGCTTTCCTGACCGTTTAGTCAACGTATTGATCCTCTTGTTATGTATGTTTCTGCATCAGGTACCAACTGAAGGTACATCAATGTTATAATGAAACTGCTGATATTCTTTGGATCTTTCGCTGACACCGGGATAGCAGTTTCCCCGTGATTCTATTCTATATGCCAAGCTAAGCTAACCGTTTACTGGCTTAGGCTTTATATTTAAAACAAGGACATATCAATATGCTCATTTAACTCTAAGCTAAGAAGAGAATAATCACATTCCCCCCCCAAAAAATAGAAATAACGCTATATAGAATACATTTTCCCTTGGCATTCTTTGACATCCTGTGTAGATGATAGAACACCTGATGCAGATGCATCTGACCTGAAATGATAGCAGTAAAGTGTGCTGAAAAAACTCAACTCTGTAAAAAAAAAAAAAAAAAAAAAAAAGTAGCAACGCTCACTGACTGAGGCTTTTTTTCATATGCAAATAAGAACTAGACGGAGAGACTGTTGAACTCAGCGTTTTTCAAAGATGTCTTCTGAGTGTGCCTCTGTGGTGGCATCTCTGAAGGGTGACGAGATGCTGAGTCTTATATAGTGGAGCTGGTAGGGAGCCAGCAGCTTGTCAAAGCGTTTGTACTACTCCAAAAGACGCAGATGCACCCACCTGTTAGAAGATAACTGCTTTACATGCGTGTGTGTGTGTGTAAGTGTGAGCGTGAGTGTGTGTGTGTGGGCTGGGTGGGTGTCACACCACCTTTTCTTACCTTAGCAGACGTCTCGTACCATCCGACAAAGCCGTTCTCCTCGCAGAACTGCTCCATCTTTATTCCGTTATTGGTCAGTACTTCCCGACCCTGGTCACATTTATTAGCCAAAAGCACAGTGGCTACATTTTTCCCATTAGCTAGTGTCAGTTTGGAATCCAAGTCCTCCTTCCATTTGGTGACGGCCTCAAAGGAGGCAGGCCTCGTGACGTCGAACACGATGAAGGCGCCCATGGCCTCCCGGTAATACACACGGGTCATGTTTCCAAACCTCTCCTGACCTGAAAGACACACACAGACAAAAGTACAGATGTATACACACAAAGAAAATCATTTTTGGATGCGGGGTACAGGTCCAAAGATGCTTGAATTTGAATCATCTGTTTCCCTCATCTCTCACATTCTTGTCTTGTATGTACCAGGATGAAAACATTTCCAACATACCTATACCCTCCTTTCAAACAGCCATTCAGTTACACATACATGCACAATTACATGCATGTTTGTTCCAGAAAAAGAGCAGAAAGCTAGAAAAAGGGTTTAGAAATGGATACATAAAAGGAAACCCAGAGGAGAAAGATGTCTTTGGTATGTGTCTAGGTGCCTGCTTGTGAAATAGCCTGTAAAAAAATTCCTGAGGGTGAAATTAATTCGATAAGCTCGGTTGGAATGTTGTATCCCCACTCATTTTCCCATCTGTTACTTCTGTGAGAACACCATCAGCACCAGTCTCACATACAAGAATACAATTTGCTCCCAGGTAGGATATTTTCATTATGTGAAGAGAATGGGAGTTCTTATTAATTCAGAAGCTGCTGTGTATAGGTCCACCGTCTGTTAATACGCTCTCTTGCACAGGTGGTTGAGAGCACGGGGTCAGCAGCAGAACAGCTGAGGAAACACGGCTGCACCAAGGTCAGGCAGCATACACAACCTTGTATCATGTTAAAAAGTTTTGTAGTGTCGTATTATTGCCCAACTAACTGTTTCTACCTCTGTGTGTAAACCAACTCATCCATACTGGGTGTTTTCTGGGTGCTGGAAAAGTCGGCAAACACAAGCACATCACTTATTCAGATGCTGAGTCATAAAAAGAAAAAAAAATAGATATGATGCACAAAGACTCTCAACACTATGGCTCCCAAAGATATACTTACTTATTTGTTGTCGTCTTTGTGCATCATATCTAGTGTTATGTGGGTGATGACATTACAAAGGATGTATAAAGCCATTCAAAATAAAATGTTGTTCTATTGAACAAAAAATGTAATCGAATAAAAAGCAACATGGTAAATTAGAGTTCCTCTCCATCAATTATGACATTTAAAGTTAAAACTATGCCTTGGTTATTTAACATGATTGTCTGGGTTAGGTTTGATTACATGCCACTGGCATTGCTGTATACATCAACGATAAAACAACTGAACAACTAAATAAGGTTCAAAAGATGTTCAACACTGATTGGTTTGATTGGTGTAGAGAAAACCAACTTTATGAACCTCAAAAATGGCTAAAAAAAAAGAAAAGAAAATACAAGAATGGGGAGGAAAGATATATACCATATGTGGAGTGTTAATATAAGACCCAGTGCTCGAAATAAGAACCTGATTGAGAGAGTAGGTAGATTAGTTACCTAATGTAAGGAGAGTCATTGGGTTCATTCTCAGGGATCAAATGTTGCAATAATTGAGTGCTGAAGCAGAGGCCCAAACACATCAAGACTTAAACCTGGTTGGCAAGCACAGACTTCCACAGCTTAATAACTAAATCATTTCAGAAGTCATTTCAAAATAAGGCCTCTACCATCCACATTCAAGTTGTCATGATGTTTTCCCGCAGCTAGCTCTTTAACCTTGGACGTAGATGAATGGCAGTTAAAAATAGAGCTGGTTGAACTCATTATTTGTCTTGGGAATTTCATAGAATCAAGTAATTTATTACATATTTGGCATGAGAAAACTTCGGGCTATCATCAGCCTCTAAAGACAACTAGAAAAGCAAACAAGTAAACATACCAAAAATACATTTTTTTTGGATGTGAATTTTGTGTGTCACATGGAAAAAAGTCCATGTGCTTTATTTTCAGATGGCTTTTCTAATAAGACTCAAAGAAGAGCCAATATAAAACTGTACTTCCCATAGTTCACAGGAATATCATCTACAAAGTGTCTTTCCCACCTTAAGCCTTCTACGACCGCAGAGCGAGTGAACGGTGGGAAATTACAGTACCAATCTATAGCAGCTCTCCTCTGAGGGAGTCACTCATCTTTAGTTCACAATAAAAGCTTTCTGTATACACGAGTTTGGGCCTCAAATCTCCCTCACATGAGTTTGAGACACATGACTGCTTGCGCTCACTGGAGAGGGCGCACAGGAGGGGAGAGAGCAGCAGGTCAGAGGATTCTTCTAAACCTCAGCAGACACTCATGTGAGATGAGACTGCTGTAGCCTTTTGAGTTGTTATCACACCCCAGCAGCATCCCACTCAAAGGCCTGTACATTCAGGAAAATGCTGACTATTTCCTCTTTATGTTTTCAACAATGAACAGCAAAGATTTATACACAGCTTGGGGAAAAGATGTTACAATTTCAACATCCCTACAAGATATTTCCTTTTTTTATTCATTAAATAGCCTGTTTTACACTCCAGATGTGAGAAAGAAAATCATATGACAATCCGATAAATAAAGAAAAAGAGTAAAAAAAGACAAAATAAAGGTACCACATAGGTTGGTATGCCAAAGTGTACAGCAAATTTGAAATATATACATGTATGTATGAATGAATGATTGAATTATTTGGTTGTTTAGGTTGTTCAGATATCCTTTGAGATGTAATATGCTCATTTTATAGCAGACAAACTCCAGTAGATTTGACAGAACTTTGGAAACACTGGCTATGCTAGCTGCTAACTACTGTACGGAGGAAATATTAAAGAAATATAAACATTCATAAATGTTGTGCCGAGTTGAAAACTGGGCTCCTGTTGGTCTTACAAATAGAAGGAATAGAAACATTGTATTAGCTCAAGAGTCCAGCTTAAAACTTGGTTATACTAATGACCAGAAACGATCATAATGGCTGACTGTTGCCATGGTTTCTCTCTGTTACATCACATGAGGTCATGATACCCGGAAAAAGGTCACGTGACATGAACAGTAAGGTTTATTAAGTGGACCAAATGGTGGTTTAACGCATAGTTACACAGCATTGAGCACATTAATCATATTTGAATTTTTAAATGTGTGTGCTTGTCTTGTATTTGAAGAAAGCGAAATATGTAATCGTGGAAATGTGTTGAATGCAAAACGATTTCAAAATGTGATGCCTACAGGTCAGCTGGTGCACATGAGGAACATTAACCCTGAATAACCTTTAACATCACCCACAAAAAATGAAGAACAACTGTGATGAAATGGTCTCATGTTAATTCCCTGGATCACTGTCTTTTAATGACTCATCCAAAATTATCTGAACATCTCAAATCCTTGGAGAGGGCCTCAGTGTTTCGCCTATGCTAGAGAAAAAGGGCTTTAATCTTTTTCTCAGCAGAAAAACTGATAAAAAAAACAAAACACATTATTCTTTGAAATATATTATTTGGAAAGCTGTAACCTCAAATGATCTGTATTGAAGAATAGACAATTGGTTATATGTTAGTGCTACAGCACTGTGTGAAAGTGAAGCACATTCCTTTCGACAATTAGCCTACTGTTTGAAATGAAAGTGTAAAATAATCTTGATTTCCAAACTAATTAATTTCCAAAAGTGCCATGTATGTAACTGACTTGACCAACTTTTTTTTTTAAATAGATGTTGTGTATTTAGGCTATTCCGATTTATTTTATAATTCCTCTATGAAGATTAAGAACAGATATAATCCCTACGCAATTCCATCTTGATCTGTATAGAAATAACTTTGGTTACGGCCATTGTGTTCCAACTCTTTACAAATCCTGTCCTTTATTTCTACTTTTTAACAAAGTTGACTAAGGCCATCCTGAAGCTCACTTTAGGAAAAACGCGTGGAAAGTTTGTCTCAATGGAAGAAACAAAAAAAAGTCACTTAAACAACATTAATGGGAATTTCCAAATTTATTTTGGAGACAATGAGTAGTGCGTAAAAAGTTGGAGCGTACCTGCAATGTCCCACAGCTGAAGGCGCACCGTCTCCTGGTCCCAGTTGAGGACTTTGAGAGCGAAGTCCACTCCAATAGTGGCTCGATAGTTGGGGCTGAAGTTGTGATGGACATAACGTTTGATGATGCTGGTCTTGCCGACCCCGAGGTCCCCTATTACAAGAATCTTATAAAGATGCTCCTTTTGGTGGTTGTTCTGCATGGCGACCGAGAAGGGCGAGAGCTGAGCATGAATCCTCCGTAATGGAAAGGACCAAAGGGGAGGAAAGGGGAGCAGCACAGGACAGCGCACAGAGAACTACAGAGAGCTGGGAAAAGGAGAGAAGGGGAGTGCGAGATACGCCCTGACCCACGCAGGGAAGCGGAGCACACACGTCTGGACCTTGTGACTGACGCAGCGCAGTTGCGTGCTGGTGGTGTCACGCCGGTTTCCAACCTCCAAATCTGAGGATGAAAACTTTTGTTTAGATATAACCACATTTATTGCACATGCGTCTTGGGCTTTAAACTACCGTTCTTAAAAATTATGTATTAAAAAAAAAAAATCAGAGGCAAATGTAAAGCGGAAAGGAGCATATCATGACATCCTTAAACTATTTTAACTCTCCATTTAGTTTACTGATTTGAAAGGCTAACTGATCAAATACGGACATTTGAAGATTTGGTTGATTATCCAAGACAGACCTGCAAAATTCACTTCTGATGAATGTAGGAGTAAAAAGCCCATGTATTCAATATATTGTAGGTAAAAAAGTAGCATTACAAAAATAAGAACCTCACAACTACATATAATTAATTCCATTTAATTGTGAATAACTTATCTTAATTAGACACATTGACAGTAAATTAACCATTTCTTTGGTTAACACCTAAAACACAATGCAAAGGTGTTTTCCATTGAGCTACACACACACACAAATCAAACGGACAGTAAAATTTAAAAGATTTTATTCTGTCGATTTTTCCAGGGGAAAATACGCTGCGGCTCAGTTTCCAACAGTAACCGAGCAGCAGAATCAAAAGGCACTACAATCAAACAGATCCCTTTTTTAAAATTGATCAACAATCTTTAAAAAAGAACTCCATAGCAACACGTGGCAGTAACTGATTCAATAATGATGCAAATACAGAAAATGATCTCCACTGTGATTCCCTGAGACAAAGAATCAAGGACTGTGCACATTGCAAGGAAAACAAACACTAGCTCTTCAGCAGACAGCTCCCTTTAAATTTTACAATTGGTACATTATAAACCATCATGCTATGTCACAGTATGTAGCAGTCCCTCATTGTTTAGGCAGTTACAGCTTGAAGTAAAATCGTTCACAGGGTGATAATAAAAGATGTTGAAAACAGATCAATACAAATCAAGTCTGGAGACCGTCATGGTAATTTCAGCTTGATAGACTTTGGTAACATGTATGCGAGTTATATTGGTTTGATACAATCATGAATTTCAGTACAAATCATGCTCATGCAACTTGTTTGACTAGAGAGGAGAAAGACAGCTCAGTGCTAACCATGTGACATGACCTGCTGTGAAAAATTAAAAATTTGAGGTCTGTATCCAAACACACATTAAAAACTGCTGCACTGTTGGGACTCTAATTATGTCACCCTTTCCTCCCACGGACGAGTTTCTGTGTCTACAGTTTGGGGATGGGATTGGCTGCGACAGCGATGCTCTCAATGGAACACTCGTCACTTCCCCGGCGGATTCGGAAGTAGCCGTCCTCGCCCCAATTGGTGCCCCAGCTGTTCTTGACAATCCAGTACTTCTGTCCAGTCATGTGGCAGCGGCCATATCCCACCAGCAGCACAGCGTGGTTGGTGAGCTCGAAGGGGTTGAAGGCGTCTGCCAGGCCCGTGTGGTGGTAAATGCCCTCCCGATAGTGCATGAAGTCAGGGTACACCTGGGAGAGAAAATGTAAGCTCATTTATCTCTGTTAAATAAAATCTAAACTTATGATGCAGGAGGCTACACAAAAATGTGGAGGAGAACGAAAAAGAAAGGAAAAAGGTTCAATAAGCACTGTATTCAAATCACTGTTGAGACTATAGCTCTCTGAATTTGGGGTTAATCGGACAGGTTAAACTCGTACTTCAAGATAATGAGCAGAGTTGTGATAGGGAAGGGAACAATCGAGGTTACTTTTTTTGAGAGTGCAGCTTTTTAATGGGTCAGTTTTGTATTTCTCAGGTCAAAAGTGTCATAGCTTTATAATGTAAAATAGAAATGGTTCATTAAAAACTGACCACTTCTAAATAACATTGAGCACGAAGCCCACAATCATGAAATGATAACATCCTGCATGTAAAGGAAACACTGTTTGGAAACAACAAGGGGCTGTAGTACCTCAAAAGCGACTGCCATTGGTCCATTTTTGACCAGATCCATCATCATGGCCATCTCACTGCAGCCGCCGTAAAACCCACCGACGTAGTAGTATTCTGCCGTGTACACACGGAAGCAGTTCTGAGGAACGCCACATGGGGAGTCCTTTCCAATGTATGGGAAGCACGACTCGTCCACGATACCAAAATCCTGTGCATACTTTCCGATCAAGTATGGGAAGCCACCATCACAACCTTTAAGAGGAGAGATACATTTCAAATCATCTCTACTATGGAGATTGTCCTGATGTTCTCACAAGTTTAATCTCACATTGGGTCCAAGAAGGAAAGTTTTAACGAGACTCACTAGGACTCTTCAAAATAATTACCAAACATGCTTGTATCAAGAAGAAACAATTGACTTTTAAAATGACAATGTGAGGGCGCCTGAAGCCTAGCGGTTATATGTTGGGTGCCTGAAGTGCAGAGGCTGTAATCCTTGAAGCAGACTAGAGTCTCAACCTACTCTACCTTGAGAGTATTCAGAACAGGACACCACTTGTTGAGGGCTGAGGATGGGGCTCTCGCTGTTGTTGGTGAGGATTCGAACACGAGCTTCCAGCATTCCCATGAAGGCGAAGGAGTAGCAGCTACCACATGACGCTGAAACACAGGGCAGAAATATATACGCTCAAGGTCAATCAAACTAATGTTCACACAACGTCACTGAAATAATGAAGCTCATTTAGTGTTTGTTCACCGTTCAGAGTCCAATCTTGACTTTCTCTTACGCAGAGGTTAAGTTGATGTTGTAATAAATAAAGTGAGATTTTAACTGGTACTTTTAATATCCTGTCTTTATGTACGTATTTAAAGTCTGGGTTGACTTACTGCACCTGCTACCGCCACGACCTGACCTCGGATAAGCGAAGGAAAATGGATGGATGGATGGGTTTTAAAAGATGACTGCACATTAAAGCAAGTCTGTCAAAGTGAGTTTTAAGAAGAAGTTACAGTACGGCTCCACTGATCTCCAACGACAGATAGCGTCTGACGCTTTCTATTCATTTCCTATGGAGAGCTGGAGAGGCAGTCGCACAATGCATTAAGGGATCGTTGCGGCGAGTTTCGGGAGGGGCTCCGGCGTGCTCACCGGAGAAGAATAGACGAGATTTTCTATTCTATGCAATTGAGTCCAGGGGCTGCCTGGACTAGCCGAACGTTTATCCAATCAGGTGCATTCGTTTTTCATTATTATTTGCAACTTGGCTATAAAAGAGCGGGTGGAGGTCCAGGAGGTCTACTTTTCAGTGGGTGTGTACGCCATCAAGCAGCGAGATGAGTGCTCCGGCTCGATCCCTAGCGTCCTCGCCTGAACGGTTACTGATTCTGCACGCCTTGTCTCCTCGGGGAGGTCGTTCCAAAATGGACGAGCCCTCCAGACACACACACACACACACACACTCATTTATAGTCTTCATTATTGGTTAATCCTTGAATATCGTTATATGTTCAAGAATACATTTGACTGTATTTGACTACGTTTGTGTTTCTAAATGTTTCTGCCCCACTTTACTTATCCTCATTAGATGTAATGAATACTAGGGGAGTAGGGAACAGAGGCAGATAACACTGATGACAGCCAACCGTTTCCATCCATAGTGAAAGACACGGCTTTTAATACAGAGCTCCGAAGACACAAACTGGGTCAGAGAACAAGAGGCTGTGGGGATTTGTAGGGAGGTTTAATTGTAGTGATGATTCAAGTCAGGGTGACACAAAGAACAGGTTGTCTTTGGGTCCACCACCTCTAGACTCTTAAGACTTAAGAGGTTTAACAACCATTCATTTAAATTAAAGATAGGTGTATATAAAAAGCTGCCCATTGTTTTTTTAAATGATGTAGTGACTTTTTTTTTTTTAGATGATTCTAATAGAAGGAAATGTGTGAGGTCTTGTTTAAAAAAAAATCCACACCGACTTCAATGTCATGTTAGGAAATATGCATGTTCCTATTCAAGCCGGCCAGACCAATTTTTTCGTAATTCAATCATTTCTGTTAACTGGAATGGAAACTATAAAACCCACCTGCCTCGCAACATTGAAGGAAAATAAGCTGCGCGGCACTGCAGTGGCTTAGAGGGCCCCTGTTGAAACACTTCAGGCCTCTCCAGTTCCTTAAACCAAGCCCTACAGAGGCCCTCTCAGACACTCAAATACTACTCAGCAAGAATAATCTCTCCACTCACACACCAGGCTGTGCAGAAACACAGAAGCAGCAGAAAGCAGACCCAGGTCTACCAAGAGGGAGCAAAGGAGCTCGGAGCTGTGTGCTCTTAACAGACAGCTGCTCACGCGTGAAAGGTACAGCTGTGTCTCCTTCTGGTCAAGTCTTGTACAGGTTTATGTTGTTTGCATTTTCTTTTTTCAATTTCAAAATATACATGCAAAAAAAAAAAAAAAAAAAAAAAGCCTGCTCACTTTAAAGTGAATTCTTGTTTGGATAATTGTTCATGTCAGCACAGTGAATTAAGATCACCTTGGTTTCGCACAGGGCTGACAAAGTTGACACCGCTCACATTTCTCCAATCCCAGCGCTCAGGCAGAGCAGCTGCCATCTTGGCTACTTCAGCTGTCACAGGCCTAGGGCGAACACGCCTGAAGCAGAAAGAAAGAATCAGAAATACACTTCTAGTAAAACTTTTGGAATTTGTCAACAGTTTTAAAACATGCTCGGACACGATACGAAACAATCCTTCCGGTGGGGGCGGGGTTTATTAGGATGGGCGGGAGAAGGCAGGAACGGGATGACCACAGTACAATCTCAACTATTAAGACAACTGTATGTGTTCTTATCCTCTGTGCAAACCAATACATAGATTTTGGAAAACGCCCAAGAGTCCTGATACTGTGTTTACAAGCAGGTCAATACTCCTCCCAACCTAAAGCACTAGATATAATCTAGCAAGATTCACAGACAAATTTTGATTTCATTAATATTTGACATTTTGAAGCATACTATTTGCTTATTTGAGGGATCAAATTTCTAAATCACCTCTAGTAGTTATTCCTGCATTGCCCACGTAGGACTCTGTAGCCACAGTTTGAAAATATAAATAAATGCTCACATAGGGATCTGGGAGGCGGGCCCCCCTGCTCTGTTGTGCATCTCCTGCAGAGTGTACATCTCATTCTCAGGGTATGCCACAGCTCTCCAGGACTTCTGAGCCGAGCTGATGGAATCGATGAAGTCCAGGTTGTTTCTGTACGGCTTCTGGAGCAGCCTGTCGGGTACAAAAAAAAAAAGCAATGATCAATGACACCACCTATGGCAAGATTAAGAATTTTTCCATAGGCCAAAGTCCACTGATGTCTAGCTTGTTTGTGTTTCTTTGTGAGCTTATGTTTCTCAACTTTGCATTTTGGAGAATGGAACAGGTGATGGTGATTTACATACCTGCTGCTGTAGAACGGTTTGTAGTTTGTTTGAGATGTACTGACT